TCTTTGTTTTGTATTTTTTTACATTTAATTGTAGCTACGAAATTGGCGCCCCCAATTTTAACGAAATTTGCGATGCATTTTTCACTGTTTAGTGCTTGAAATATTTGCTAAAATTGACTGGGAATACTTAGAGATTTGTAGAATGGCTTAGTCATATTTATTTGCTCTTTGACTAAAATGTTTAGCTGTATTATTGCTAAAGATGCCGTTTTTGAGAATTTGGTTTGCAACTAGGTTTGAACATCCAACCACACCATCAGTCCGTTGAAAACAATAGATCACGTTAGCTAGTTTCCTATCCATTTATTTTATTATCCATGACGTAAGTATAAGCAGAGCGTATAGTAAACCATAGTAAAATGCAAAGTATAACAGATCAATGTGTTCTTGCCATAATGGAGAAACTGTGTGCGTTTCATGTTGCCATAATATGCTGCTATATGTATGTAAAAAAGACGAGGTGTTGTTTTTGAATAGGTAATCATGCGATGGCGAGTACAATTAGGGATTGATAGTACGAGTGACGTTTGGAAATTTTGCCAAAAATTGACGCATTTTAAACGCGTACAGCACGCATAACGAACGAAATGTAAATACAAAATTTATAACTACTATACACAGTGGGTGATTCCAGCTGTAGACTAAATTTTGATCAAGGCAATAGACAACTTGCATGTTACACAAATTTTTAATCTAACCGATCTAGGCAAAAAAAAAGTAAATTACCGTTAAGAACTTATTAAAATTAGTAAACTTGCAAAATTTGGTTGCGAAATGTTGTAAAGCTTGGAAAATATAGCCTTGCAAAGTTTGCATATTTTCAGTATATTTGTATATTACGTGCGGAAATTGTTACCATTTTTGAGCCGAAAATGGTAACAATTTCCGCACGTAATACAAATTAACTGAAAATATGCAAACTTTGCAAGGCTATATTTTCCAAGCTTTACAACATTTCGCAGCCAAATTTTGCACTTTTACTAATTTCAGTATGTTCTTTTTAGCTGTGGTGTTTGATTCCCTTTTCTATGCTTCGATTAAAATTTAGTCTAACATGCAAGTTGTCCATTAGAAGAAGAACGAAATCCAACTGAACACCACAGCTAGATAGAGCTAGCGTGTTAGAATGAGTATAAAACTGCAAAGATTGGTTGCTAAATGTTGTAAAATGAAGAAAATATAGCCCTGTGAAGTTCGCAAATTTTGTATATATTTGTATTACGTGCGGTAAAAATAACCAATTTAGGCTAAAAATGCCGGTTATTTTTCCCGCGCATAATGCAAATATATACAAAATTTGCGAACTTCACCGGGCTATATTTTTCTCATTTTATTACAACAATAGACAATTCCCATTATAGACTAATTTTAAAACTAGGCAAGGAGATGCAAATAAATCACCACAGCTAGAAAGAACATACTAAAATTAGTAAAATTACAAAATTTGGTTGCGAAATGTTGTAAAATGTGGAAAATATAGCCTTGCAAAGTTTGCAAATTTTGTATACTTTTGTATTGCGTGTGACATTTTCGGCCTAAATGTGGTAGGAATGTGGTAGGAATTTCCGCAAGCAATTCAAAAGTATACAAAATTTGCGAACTTTGCAAGGCTATATTTTCCTCATTTTACAACATTTCGCAACCAAACTTTGTAATTTTACTAATTTTAGTATGCTCTTTCTAGCTGTGGTGATTTATTTGAGTTTCCTTGCCTAATTTTAAAATTAGTCTATAAT